AAAAACCACTTCATTAATATAAACTCGGCTATGGTTTGAAGGGTTTTGTTATGAATAACAAAAAGACTGTCTTTTACCTTTTTCACTCTGGAGCTGTTCTGGAGCTTAATAGGAACTGAGGACAAAAGGCCAAAAATTTTAACAAAAGATACTCTTGTTGCTTTAGCCACTTAGGAAATGACACAGGTTATAGGAGCTGTGAGCCAGGCACTGGGAACAAAAGCCAAAGTATATGTGTTACATATTATAATATCACAAATAGAATCTATGTTTTTCTTTTGATATGTTTCTATTAGTTTGAACTCAGGTCCGTTGCTGTGATATTAATGGGCCTTTGCTTATAATAGATCTAAAAGAAGAGTTTCAAACTATGCAAACCCCATTGCCAAAAGCTTTTGGGTGGACTTTGAAGCAAAATGAAGAAAAATGACACATTAATTCACATCCATTTTCCAAGTTACAGCACCATTTTGCTTCAAAATGGCATTCATAACAGGGTGATTATAATTTAAATTAATGAATCCTCAAATAATAGCTGTTATTGCCAATTATTTTAAAATATAATATGAAATCTCTGGATTCATAAATAACATTCTTTCCCTATTCAGGAAAAGCCATGCTGAGCAATGTGTTATTCATGACTTAATTATTCTATAGATGCTTCATTCATATGCATGCAGATATATCTGGCAACCTTGCATTTTAATGAAGACGCCCGAAAGGCAGCAGGCTATAATTTCCAACAGAGAATTCTGTCAAGACTGAACAATAGAAGCTCCTGAAGAGGACTAGGAAATAGCTTAGCCCAGAAAGAAAATTAAAAACCCATTTAAATATTTTAATTATAATCTTCATTAGGGAATTTTGAAATCCTTTTGTACATGCAGAGCTTCTATGGTTTAGGAGCTACTTTTGTTTTTTTGTAGAGGAAAGAGGGATGTTTTCAAGATTCTATGGGGTGAGCTAAAGCCCTCCCAGGGGAGCACAGTTCCGCTCTGCTCCAGTCCCCTGCACCTCTTAGGCCTGACTTCTGTTTTTGAAGTGGTAATGGTGTCACCAGAAAGCTGGGCCCTGACACAGTGAGGAACCTGACCCTCACTTCTTTGGTCCTGGGCTCTTTGTACTTTTGATGAAAGAATTCAGTCAAGACACATAGGCCTTGGAGAAGTATAGGTAGAATTTATTATAAAATAAATGCATAGTTGCACCTTCAAAAGAGAAGGTGGGCAGTGCCATGAAGGCATCTGAGTTTGGATATATTTGTATGCACCCAAGGATTGTTCTTGGAGTCTTGGAAATGGGTAGTTGTAATGCTTATCAACATTTTATGTAGAAGTTACTTTGGAATTGCAAAATGCCTTCTTATTCTTTTAGATGGTCAGTGTTTCTTCAGGGGCTTTAATCATGTAAGAAACTTATAATAGATAAGTTCTTAATTTAATCCTGGTCTAGCCAAAAGCAGGAGGGTCTTTAAAGAACATTTCCTTTCCTAGTTTCACTGGGCTGTAGGCTGCGACAGACAGGAATGCTGTGTGCCTTATTTCAGAACTAGATGAACAGATATCAGAAGGAACATGCACAGTGTATAGTCTTAAAATGTCATTGTGCTCTGTGGGATCTCTTTAGGTCTGAGACCTAACAAAGGTTTATAAATGTATTAGATGTTGATGTCTTTGTTTCTTTACTCATCTGGCAGTGTATGCTATTGTGGACCCTCCCCCTGGCCTGTTAATATCTGACTACCTGCCTAACAGTTGAGCCCAAATAACCAATTAGAACGATGTTAGAAGGGAAAATGAAAACAACAAAGGGAGATGATTCTTTCAGGTTTTTTTTTTCATTGAACATACATACACATGCACACACAATTTTAGCACTGGCTGGCTGTACCCTAAACTGTCATTCTGTGATCATCCAGAAAGCTCGGCTTGAGTAGAAAGAATTTGGACTATGAGAACTGCCACAATTTTATTATGGCTTCTTTTTCTCTCATCTTCAGAGAGAGAGAGAGAGAGACAGACAGAGAGAGAGAGAGACAGAGAGAGGTCAGAAAAATGATAGAATTATCAAAAACACATGAAATCAGCTAGATACATAGAGAAGCAGGTAATAATTCCACTTGTTCTGTTACAGAATAAAAGCAAAGTAGAAAACTACTGCCACATGTAAGCCTTTTAGGAGAGACAGTTAAAAGCAAGTGACAGTGCATTGTAGGAGGTGTGGCATTTTCTGGAAGGGTACAGAGTAACAGCCTTAGCAATCTTTGCATTAGTCTGGTTTCCTCTTATTCCTCTTATTCAGATGGGGTCTGAGTTGGTTCTGCAAAGAGGAGAAAGACCTCAGACTGCCACCACCCATAGAGTAGACCTTTACTTGTCATCACAAAGCATTTCAGGAGGTGTCAGTGAGAGGTACACTCAGATTCAGCAGTGGTGATTAGTCACCACACAAAGGAAAAAGAGAGGGCCCTCAAGAGGGAGGTGTGTTATACTCTGGGGCTGGGGTATTTCTGTGTTTTGGGGTGTCCTCAAGACAGATAATCTAGGACAATGGTGGTAAACCTATTGCACCCATGCTGCAGTGGGCACACAGAGCCCTGTCTATTGTACGTGAGCCAAGTCGCCCCAGCCTTGCCCCAGTAGCCAAGCATTGGATAACAGTGTACACAGGGGCTCAGAAAGCTTGTTTGGAAAGGAGCAGCAGTGCCAGGTGATGACATCATCAGTCTCAGCTCATTGGCTGCCACTGGTCTGAGCTTTCAGATGGCTGGTCAGTGTGTTGTCAAGGATATATGTATACATCTATATACCTATATGTAGGTATATATTTGCTTGGACTGGCTATGCATTTTACTGCATTTGTTTTTATTAACGCAAGATTTTAGCTTTGATTTTTCATATGAAAAACTGAAATTTAATATATAAGATTTACAAAAGAACTGTCCTAATTGAGAGACTGAGATCCTTTTAATATTGTGCTGTCCCCCTGGCACATTTGAATCTGCAGCATCATACTTAGCTGCTTGTGGAGAATTTATGAAAAGAAGAGCAGGGATATATATATATATATGTATATATCGGCTTGGGCGGCTGTGAGTTCAGGAGAAGCCCTGCAGGGTATGAAACGCACTCAGATGCCTTCTTCAGAGCATGCCAAAAGCTGGTGCTCAGTGGGACATTGCCTCCTTGTGCTGGTGGTCAGCAAATCCGAGAGGGCTGCAGCTGAGAACCACTGCTGTAGACTGATTGTTGATTCAGGGAATATCCAACCCTTCACTGTTAATTAATAGTGTTAGGTATTTTTCATATAGGGATAGATTTGTAGTAAGTTTTTTTTCTCCTCCTCCTCCTTCTTCCTCCTCCTCCTCCTCCTCTTCCTCCTCCTCCTTCTTCCTCCTCCTCCTCTTCTTCTTCTTTTTCTTCTTCTTCTTCTTTTCCCCTCCTTCTTCTTCTCCTCCTTCCTCCTCCTCCTCCTTCTCCTTCTCCTTCTTCTTCTTTCTTCTTTCTCTTCTTTCTTTTTTAAATTGTGTTTTTGTAGACTCCAAGTCTCGAACACCAAAAAATGACTACAACCAAAAAGGAAAACTGAAAACAGATAGTGGAAGATCATTCCAGTAGGCCTACACAGACTATTTCGGAGTGATTGAACACAAAGGGAAAGCATTATGTATCCTGTGCTGTGAAAGTGTTGTGTTGCACATCAAGGGCCATGTGACAGTTTGACACCAACCACAAAAGTGTTGCTAAACTTGGTGAAACTGAAAGGAAAGTTTCTTGAAGGGAAATGGAGGAAGAAATGTCATTCCCAGTATCTTACCTTTGGCATTGATCTAAAACAAATCATATGACGGGTACCAGCTTTCAAATTTCACTGTGCATAGCAAAACATGGTAAGCCCCTCTCGGATGAGAATTTTATCAAAATGGTCATGTTATCTGGGAGTAATCCCCCTTTTCATGATTTCCCAAACAAGGATAAAATGCAGTGCATCTCTGAGATGCTGTTTAGCAGAAACACTGTTAAAGATTGAGCCCTGTGCATGTCAAGAGATGTTAGTCAGCAGCTCACCACTGACTTACAAAAGGCAGCCTGTTACTCCAGGATAACTGGATGGAAACACAGATACAAATAATCATGGAAGGCCAGCAGTAATTTTGTGTCATGTTGTTGGTGACATCAAGAGAGAAGAGCTGGTGAAACCGGTGTCCTTGCTTGAAAGAACGTAAGGCATAGTTATCTACGATGCTGGGATGGAGGCTTTTTTTGTCATAAGACATACAGTGGTTTCAATTACTAGTGATGAGGCCCTTTGCATCCTTTGTTACAAAAGAAACACATGTAGTCATTCAGATTCATTGTATTATAGATCAAGAAGCTCTTTGTGCCAGGGAAAGCCGCAAAAAATTAGACAGTCTTCTTAACGATGTCACAAAAATGGTAAATTACATCATGCTTCATGCTTTTAATTTTTGACAGTTTCAAACACTTCTTGATGAGGTTCAAGCACAGTATAATTCTTTATTTATGTATAGTACTTTTGGGTGGCTGAGCAGAAGAAGAGTCCTGCGGAGATTTGTGGCCTGCTTGGATGAAATTAGGCTGTTTATGAATGACAAAAGGCAGGAACATTCACAGCTCACTGGTACAGCCTGGCTTAACAACCTCTTTTTCTTTTTACAGATTTTACACTACCCTTCATTGTAGTCAACAAAAAACCACCAGGTGTAGGTAAAACAGTAGAAAGGATGTTTTATGATATTAAAACATTTGAGAGAAAACTGCAGGTTTTTGAAAGAGACCTTGAAAGTGGACAGCTGAATTATTTTCCAAGTTTAAAAATGCATTTACAAAATTTTACAACATTTGCAGAGAGTCTTAAAAGCCATCAAGAAATCTACAAGGAATTTTCTAGCGTTGTAGCAGCTGGAAAGGAGAATTTTAGTAACAGATTTTTACAGTTTCCTTAGTTGAAGATGACCCTGTGTTTTCTTACTTCTCCAGAGAAAGCCAAATTTGAAGAAGTTGATCTTTCCTGCTTACACTGGTTAGATTTTGGAAATCTGGAAATGGAGCCATTGGCATTTCAAGAAAGTTCTGTCTGGAAAAATAAATTCTGTGACTTGTGTGCAACCCTTGAGAAGATAGAGAACATGGAATGTGAGGGAGAACAAAGGACTGCAGGTGGTAGCTCTGAAAATGAAATCCTTAAAGTGTGGAATTCCGTGCCGAATAATTGTAAGTCAATGAAAGCACTTGGGATTGCTTTTCTTACTTTGTTTGGAACATCTCATGTTTGTGAGCAGTTGTGTTCAGTTTTGAATTCTATCAAATCTGATACAGGAAACAGACTGACTGATGATGACCTGAGTCTGCATGTGTTGCTCTCAAGCTAGCAAAGTGTGAGCCAAGGTTGACAGATTATCAGATGCATAGGACAGCAAGATCACATTAATGGTGCAAAAGCATGCCAAATGCAAACTTTTACCTTTCAATAAAAAAGCTGTTTGTATTGTTGAAAGCTCTGCTATTACGTTTTTCTTTTAAAACAAAATATCTTCGTGTGAGTTGTTTTTCTAAACTAAAACCTCAGTATTCAGGTTTAATTGCAATGTTGGCACTTTGCAATATATAAGTGGGTTTTGGGTTGCAGTTCGGCACTCGGTCTCTAAAAGGTTGACCACCACTGGTCTAGGATGTGGATCCCTAGTGCCAGGTCACCTGTCAGGGGGCCAGCTTCCGTTGTTAACACCTGGACCGATTGGAAATTAGAGATATGGAACTTAATGGACAGTGCTGTTTTCTCAAGGGTGGAACTTGTGAATTCATAGCATTGGGAGAACAATGCCAGCTCAAGTTATAGGTGAAAAGCACAGGTCCAGCGTATAAGCTCATTTTATCTTTTTTTTATATATCCTTTTATTGGTACATTTTAGGTGTACAATATAATGCCATTCATCATTGGAGATATGCACCTTTACATACTCTCTTGGTTCTTAGTTTTTCCCCCTTCCCCTGCCCTCCCTTCAACCCCTCCATCCCTCCCTATTTACAAAGACTTTTTAAACTTTTTTTCATGTTCTCATATTAATTCCATTCCCTTCTTTCCTTTTCCCTACACCTCCCGCTTCCCCTTCCCCTTTGCCCCTTTTCTTCCTATTTCACATTATCTATTATACCTTTTAGTTCTTATTTACACTTGTAGTTTCTCACACTAGAGCAACTATTCAGTATTTACACATGTGTGTCCTATTTATTTCACTTAAGAGTATGGCCTCAATGTGCATCCATTTAGCAATAAATGCCTCTAATTTCTCATTTTTTATGGCTGAATAGTACTCTATTTTATTAAAAAAACACATTTTCTTGATCCAGTCACCAGCTGATGGGCATTTGGGCTCTTTCCAAGTTTTAGCTATTACAAACTGCTGCTATGAACATGGGTGCACATATATCACTGTGGTATGATTCTTTTAATTCTTTGGGGAAGAT